ATAAAACTGCTATTAAAAAATCATTGATTGGACAATTAGAGAAATCTGAATGCTGACTTGATATTAGATGATATTAAGGAATTATTATCAATTTTAAGTGTAATAATGGTATTATAGGCTTTAAAAAAGAGAATCTTCACATCTTAAATACACGCTAACATATTTACGGATAAACAATGAAGGCAGGTAACAGGTACTTTTCTTTCTACTTTTGTATACATTTGAACATTTTCATAATACAAAGTTTAAAAGGTCTTTCTTAATCCCTGAAAAACTAAAAACATCTACTAACCTTTTTCTACACATCATAACAGAATACCTATCTAAACTGGCAATTAATGAGAAAAACTGAAGAAACTATACTGTGTTCTATTATTATAAAAGAGCAAAAGAGAAAAGTATTTTTTCCTGTAATTTGCCAACTTAAAAGGAGAAAGTGTAGTAGACAAGGGAAAAAAGACTTTTACTCTCTAATTTTGGTTAACCAAGATAAAGAACTAAGTTAATTATTCATTAATTTCATTGACTGCAAAGAGTTTAAAAAGGTTAATTTGTCTGTTGAATCTATCTAATAAAATTTGTGAAGAGACCATAATATTTCACACAACAATGTGCTGAATGTGATCTATTGTATTTGGAACACTTTGCAAATCAAATTAAACCCTGAAAAAGAGGCTGTCATTTCAAGTCATATAGTTATTCATTTCTTAAATATTTGGTTTGATTTGAATAATGCTAATTTAAGTAACACTGCCAAGAGGCGTGCACACTGAGGCAACGTGGATGACAGAAGAACACATGTTCAGCCAGGCCCTGGGGCCAGTCCCAGACTTCTCCCTAGCTAGCTGTGTAACCTGGGCAAAAATCACTCAACTTCCTGAGGCTATGCTCCCATTTGTAAAATGGGCACCATAATATCTGCCTCCCAAAACTGTGGAGAGGTGAAATGAGCTCATATATCCAAAACACCTACTGCAAAGTCCAGCACTTAGCCGGTCGGTAAATGGCAGCTACGAGCAGTATTTTGAGTATTAGTGTTAAGTGCTAACGTAGCACGGGCTCCTCACAGAGGACCTGTCATCTGCTTTTGACAGTGGTTGCAGAAGCTAAGTTCTGAGGCCAGAGGGTTTCATTTTGGAATGGCAGGACTGACTTGCTTTTTAACCTCTCCAACATTAGTCTTTTGGTTGTGTTTAGTAATTCTCTGATCTATTAATTAATAGAGCCAATAATTAATATAATTCTCTGATCTATTAATTCATGGATCTACTACCTGATATAACTGATACAGAGTTTGCAAATGGCATACTAAAGTATTTTAAGAGGCGAACAGCCTAACTATGGTCTGAACACATAAGCAAAATTTAAAGTGGGAAATAACTACTTGCTGATTAAGGCACAACAAGCTCCAGATACATGGAACAAGGACTGCATGTCAACCTACATTTACATTTAAAATCCTGGCAGTGAAATGGAAATCAGCCGTGTGCATATACAATGGATCTATTATCCAGTTGAGCTCCGAACCATGATTCCTTGTCTTCCTGAAAACACATGTGAGCAAACCCCAGTCGCCTGACATGCGCCCTGGACCCTGCTCTGGCCTCAGATCCTACGGCGGGAAAGGAGCGATTTTTAAAACATAAATTTCTTCTGCTTATCACGGAATACACACCACAGAACACTTAGAAACAAACTACAAGTATGAAAAAGAAAAAAATTCACAACCCTACTACTCAGAAGAAAGCCCACTGATAACTTTTGGTATATAGTAATTCACGCCAGTCTTCTTTGCATAAATGTTGTCTACTTAGTTGAAATGATATAGCACATATGGTTTGAAAGCCTGCTTCTGACTCTCCATGCAATGCATAAGCATTTTCCCTCTTGGTACCAACAACACAAACATTTTTAAAGACCACACAGCATTTAATCATATGGAGGTACCATAATTTCCTGGCCATGTCCCTACTGATTTCTCTTCCCCTACTGTCTCCTACATAATTTTTCTCCTTTGTATATAATGCTACAATGAACTCCTTTATTAATCAATCACTTTTCTGATTTATATTCACAACAGCAATCTCTAAGAGACCTGTTCACTGCATTCTGCTAGCAGTGAGTAATGGCCCACTCCAACCACAACTGTGGAAAAACTTTAATAACAGCAAGAATTTTAAGAATATATGCCTCTATAAACTATTTGATTCTCTTTTCTCCACTATATGCTATATGGTAATCCAAGTTCAGCAAAATGGAAATAGACCAAATCATTCTATCCGAAAGTAAATCCAACATGCACAAAGCTAACTTTGCAGGCTGCGGTTCTCCACAGTGAAGAGGTGTGACATGAAAACTCGTGCTTAATATTTTAAAAAATACCAAAGGAAAAGGAGAAAGCAAAGTTGGGGGGCTTGTGTAGAGACTGAGTAAAGCCTGAGACGCAGGCAGTAGCCACTGGGTAGAGAAGCGTTGGATAATGGGTGTGATCAGGCCAATCTCGGGGGCAGGGAAGTGTTGCCAAAAAAAAAAAAAAGTAGGGTCTGAGAGACAGATCCTTCTATACAGACTGCAAGTCCGCAGGCCCAGAACGTTGTGGAGTGGGCCAGGATCTTGTCCTTGTCTTAGGAAGCCTCGAACTCAGGCTGTTAGTGAATTACGTTCGTGGAACTGCCGTTCTCATCGTTATACTAGTCGAGTCATATGAAGAATGATAAAGTCAGTCCAAGCTTAAAGGTCATGACAGCTTTCTTCAGGTAAGTGAAGTACCGCTGTGGAAAGGGACTGGAGTCAGTATGTACGGCCTCACAGGCCATATCAAGGATAGCGGGTGTGAACTGCAGCCCAACGATTAGGGACAACCACAGTACAAAGACACACGCTGATCGTGTACTTTCTTTGAGCCGAACCACACTGAGCACTGGGAACGCTCACTGCCTTCCGAGACAGCCTGCTTCTCTGTGTTCCAGCCACGCCTGTCACCGGGCAAACAGCACAAACTGTACACCTGAAGCTCAAAATACTGAGCCCCAAGCTTCTGAAAACTAACTTTGGGAAGAAAAAAAGATCACTTAAAATATTTAAAAAGAAGAATGTCATGTGTTCAGGCTACTTCAAGTGTACATTAGGGTGGCAAGCCAAAATATTGTGAAGTGACAACAATGTGATAATGATGATGACGGTGATGTGGCCACTTAACCAAAGGAGTTTTGCCCCAAAGATCCCCCAGCCCAGCCCTGACTGCAGACTGCCGGCTATGGAGACAGGCACAGAGTCAGAACCAACACAGCAGTTTTGGAAGAGAAGCAGCGGCCAGAGCTGCTGCTGTGAGCCACCCCCCTCCCCCCTCCCTGCTCCCCGTCCTCTCATTAGGAGCAAAGACAGTGGGGAAGCCCTGGCCACCTCCACGCAGGGGATACCACCCACCCACCCGCTTTCTCGCGAATCTTTCTTCTATTTCTTGGTGTGACCTTCTGGCTATCATACCTTGATTTACTTTCATTTATGAAAAGAATGTTATAAGGAAACAGAAGATAGCTATGAAAAATTTTATTTCTCTTAGGAGTTTTATAAAAGTCAAACTTCACTCTTAAGAAAATAAAACTCCTGGGCAAGCCCTTTATATTAATTTTTTCCCCTAATTTTCTAAAAGTAAAGGAGTTTTCAGAAGTCTGAAGTTTTATATAAAGCAACTACTTCACATGTGCCCTTTAGGATACAGCAGTCATCAGATTTATTTCGGGAAAGCTGAGTAGGTCAAGAATACCTAAAATAACCTGGTTTCTATTTAAAATACCCTTATCGCTTTGTAACAGAGGGGGAAAAGATTTCTTAAAAGGATTATTCCGGACGTAGACATCAGCCCAGCCCAGGTATCTATCTCACATGGAGCTGGCGGTAACCGCCCGGCAGCACAAGAAATAGACCTCTTCCCACAGACACGTGAAAACACAGTCGAGTACTTGAGGAACAAGTAAAAGATGCAACGTGAGACAGTCCTTTCTCCTAACTCCAAGGAAAATACATTAACTGTGAAATAATTTGTTAAATCCAAACAAAAATGAAAGGCATCTTTAAAGCGACATTTACATGTCGTGCTCTCAAAATGTTTTAAGCAAAGGAATTTTACAGCCAAGATGAGGTCTCCTTTCTAGAGATAGCAACAAAGAAAAGTGACTCTGGCAAAAGACCAACAATGCACACCAAAGACACCAGGGCACTAGTGGGACAGAAACTTTTGTGAGGTTTTTCATTTCCAAAATTTTAAGAAGGGGATCACTACAAAGTTACTTATCACAAATATTGCTTTCTATGTCTCATTCCCAGGAGCCACAGGGACATGAAATGTTGACTTCAATTTGCCAGAAACCCTCCAGGCATAGATCTCTGCAGTAGTGCCATCCTCAGGGACAGCAGAGGCTTTGCACAGGAGGACCTGCCTTGACAGGTACAAGAGGGGGAAAGTTAGTGATAACTTCAGGAGTCTGAGCCTCTCAAACACAGGCCCACCGCCTCTGTGCTCCAGTGCCTGGCTCAGAGCCTTGCATGTGGCATATGACTAAGAATTTCTGTGCAGAACTGAATGACACAGTAGGCTGAGTACACAGAAAGAGATGAGAGTTTTCAAAAAAGCTTCTAGGCGGAATAGCCTCCAAAAAGAATGCAAAGGATGGTGGCTCTCTTTGCAAGCTCCTCTGTCCCAGAGAATCTTGATAGACAAGTGTTCTCAACAGTCCCTTTGGTCCGTTCCTTCCTTCCTTGACTCAACAAGCATTTAATGATCACCTACGATGTATTAATACACCACTGGGCTATAGGATTCGCCAACATCAAGCCAAATAATATCGTTACACTTTGTGTCATTATTTTGACAGTGCTGTTTTATTGTCAATCTAAGTTTTGATTCTCTGTCAATATTAAAGAATACAATGCATTTGCTAGAGCAATAATCTTCAATGAGACTGATTCCACTGTTGTTCCTATATATCCAAAATGCTCACCTTTGGTAGGTCCTTTCCTGTTAAGCATGGCCTGCTGTTCCTCAGTAATGTTCAGCCGCCGGACCACGTCAGCCAGGGCTGATTTGAGCAGCTGGATGTCGTCTTCTTGCATCTGCACTCGCTGCTCCAGTGAGGCAATGCGGTCTGTCACCTCCATGCTGCTTGCAGCAGAAGCGCTGTCATCTAGACCAAAAGAAAAGATCCAGTGAGTTCTAAATGCTCCCCAGAGAAATCAGATCTATAAACATACACTAGCATATTGCTTTAACATAATAAAACTGGCCAACTGAAGGCGACTGCTCTTATGCAGAAATTGTGGGAAATTTTTTGCCACATAGAATTACAACTCAACATTCTACTGTAGTCTTTTCATTCTCCACATTTGTGCTTTTCACTTGTAAACTGTGGTCTTACTGGGCATTATATTTTTCTATGTTTAGGCCAACTTGTTTTCCATGACATCAGAGAACCTCAGAGGTAGAAGAGATCTTAGAATGTCTTTGTCAACTTCCCACACATTGCAGAAATCCATTCTGCAGGGTCTCCTCGCTTTTGTGCCAACGACACTAGCGGACAGGTAGGTCCTATAGCCACAAGGCTACACACCCATCAGTCAAGGTTTTTAAGGACAAAGCTGCATGAGTGGTCAAATCTGTTTGGTAAGCTGTGCTTACAGCTATGCCAATCACATTTTCTTGTACAGAATCACAGCTCCCAGCTGCTTTTAGGGGTCTACAAGGCTCTCTACAATCTGTCTCTCCTACTTCATTTCACACCATCCTTTCCTTCGGTCACTCTGTTCCAGCCATACTGGTGTCTCTCTCCCATCTTAGGGCATTTGTATCTGCTGTTGCCTTTGCTCAAAACATTTCTCAGCCAGCTTTTAACATGACCAAATTTGTCTTGTTCTTTAGGTATCAACTCAAATAGGAGTTCTTTTAAAAGAACTTTCCTAAAAATCTTATCTAAAGTGGTTGCTATCTCATCAACCTTATTTATTCCACAGCATATATTATAAACTATAATCATCTTGTCGGTTTATGTCTACCTCTCTGAAACAAAAGGTAAGCGTCATAGAGTCACTTCTGCTTCCGGGCATGGCAGACTAAGACCCTACTAGACAGCATCTCCTGTGCAGAAAAAAATTAGTAAGCCTAGAAAAACAACTCCCTGAAGGCACTGAAGAGTGAATAGAAGCATGAAGACTCTAGTGTGGAGCTCACACTCAGGTTTTGGTGGGGGTTCACACTCAGACTCTGGTGGGGAGCTCACACTTGGGCTCTGGCGGGAGCTTACACTCAGGTTCTGGTGAGAGCTCACGCTCAGACTTGTGGGAGCTCACACTTGGGCTCTGGCGGGAGCTTACACTCAGGTTCTGGTGAGAGCTCACGCTCAGACTGGTGGGAGCTCACACTTGGGCTCTGGTGGGAGCTCACACTTGGGCTCTGGTGGGAGCTCACACTTGGGCTCTGGTGGGAGCTCACACTTGGGCAGCCAGGGCCTGTTTGGAGCAGGTCTGGATGTCGTCTTCTTGCCATCTGCCCTCGCTGCTCCGTGACGGCAATGCTGGTCTGTCACCCTCCATGCTGATTGCGCAGAAGCGCTGTCATCTAGACCAAAGGAAAGGAGTCGGTGAGTTGCTAAATGCCTCCCCAGAGATCAGATTCTTAAAACATAATGTTACACTAGCATATTGCCTTGTAAATATAAATTGGGCCAACTTAGGCGCGGACTGCTCTTTATGCCAGCAAATGTGGGCAAATTTTTTTGGCACTAGATACTCACATATCTTAACTGCTAGTACTTTTTTCTCCACCTTTGTGCTTTCACTTGTAATGTGGTCTTAATGGGCATTATATTTTTCTATGTTGTTAGGCCACCCAATTGTTTTCCATGAATCAGGAGACACTCAAGGAAGGTAGAGTGATCTAGTAGAATGGTCTTTGTCAACTTCCCGACACATTGCAGAAATCATTCTTGCAGTTTGGTTCTCCCTTCGTTGTTTGCTGTCTCTATCGTTACTGTTGCGGACAGGTAGGTCCTATTGATGCCACAAGGCTACACTCCCATCAGTCAAGGTTTTTAAGGACAAAAGCTGGCTATGAGTGGTCAAGTCTGTGGGATTCGTTCTGTTGACGGGCTCTTGTGGGCAATCACATTTTCTTGTACAGAATCACAGCTCCCAGTCTTTTTAGGTTACAGGCTTTCCATGATCTGTCTCTCCACTCATTTACACCATCCTTTGCCTTCTGGTCACTCTGTTCAGCATAGATGGTGTTCTCTCCCTCTTAGCGGCATTTTGTATCTGACTGTTGCCTATTTGCTCGAACATTTCTCAGACCGCTTCTAACATGACCAAATTTGTCTTGTTGTTTTAGGTATCAACTCAAATAGGAGTTCTTTATAAAAGAACTTTCTAAAAATCGTTACATAATTGGTTGCTATCTCATCAACCTTATTATTTCCAGCATATATGTATAAGATATAATCATTTGTCGGGGGGGGGGGCGGGGCTTTATGTCTCCTCTCTGCAAGAAAGGTAAGCGTCATAGGTTCACTTCTGGCTTCGGGCCATGGCGACTAAGTAAGACCCTACTAGCAGCATCTCACTGTGCAAGAAAAATTAGTAATCTAGAAAAACAACTCCCTGGGAAGGTACGAGGTGGAAAGAACCATGAGACTTCTAGTGTGGAGCTCTACACAGGTTTTGGTGGGGTTCACACTCAGGCTTACCCTGCCGTAGGGGGAGCTCAAACTTGGGCTCTTGGCCAGGAAGGCTCTACACGTTGGCGTTCAGCCAGCACGAGCTCACCTCGCACCCGGACTAGTGGCGAGCCTCACACTTGGGCTCTGGCCGGGAGTCACACTTTGGACTCTGGCGGGAGCTCACACTCTCAGGTTCTGGTGGAGCCTCACACTCAGACTGGTGGGCTCCACGCTTGGTCTGGTTTGTGGGAGCCTCCACCTGGGCTCTGTGGGAGTCAGCACTTGGGCCTCTGGTTGGGGCTCACCTTTGCGGCCGTTCTGGTGGAGCACACTGGACATCTGGTGGGGGCTCACACTTGGGTCTGGTTGGGGAGCTCACATTGGGC